TGGGAGAAGTCATTAATGATTGTATCCTAAATATTTTAAAAACAAAGAGAGATTCGCTTGCTTTTCCATCTGTAATAACCTTACTTTGTGAAGATGTAGGGGTGGAGTTTGTTGACTACCAGGAGAAGATCAGATCTGTTCCTCATATTTTTGTCTCTATGGTGAAAGAGATATATGCTACCACCTCTTGCACCTCAGCAACACTCATTCCCTCTCAATTCAGAAAAGAAAAGCCCATGATGATGAAGGACACCTTGAAGCTGATGGCTAAAAACTAGAACCAGCTAGCTGAGGGACAAACTGAACTCCATAGCAGTGTCAAGGCTGGAATTATGCTGCTGAAGTGCGTCCTGCTGAATGTTGGTAAAAAAATGGGAATGACCAAAGATGAAATGTATCATACACTAGACTTAGAAGAGAATGCTCAGTGTCTGCAGTCTTCTATTTTTAAAGACCTGCCAATCTGTATAACTCATTTCCCACAGCCAGCTGATGAAGAGGTGGTGGAAGAAGAAGAAGAGGAAGAATCAAAGGAAGAAGAAACCTCAGATGATAAGGATGAAGCAGAAGATTAGATTAGGACTTTAAATTCTGTTTGTTTTTAATTTCAGTTTATGTAAATTTTAATAATTAGGAGTTTTTATTTCTGTAAATTCAGCTAGTTGTTCAGAACAATTTTAATACTTTTCAGTTGTAATGAAGTTCAATTTCTTTTAGTTTTAGAATTCTGCAATTTTAATTACCTTACTTTTCTGATAATTGATGAAATTTTTTATGTTTTGTACAGAAGCTGTCACAATCACACAACACTCAAACAGATGGGTGTTGACACTTTCACAAGCTGCCATGAAAAAGGGGGTTATTCTTTACCTCTTGTTCATGTGTTAGCTTCACACTACACTGAAAATTTTTAGAAAAACACAAAAATATTAGAATAGATATTGAACTGCTTTATGTGAAACAATTGCATTTCAATTGATAATTCTGTGAATTCTGATTTAATTTTTTTAAAGTTATTTTTCCCATTCTCAAAATGAAATCTCACTTGTAATTTTCAAAATGAGGCAGTCTTGCCATAGTGAGCTTCATTGATTAACATGTTCACTTAAAAATCCTTGGTGAGACTTGAACCTCATGCAATTCATGTTGTGTATTGATTGATTGCATATTTTACTGCACCTCTAGAACTTGCATTGTTTCTTGATTGAATTTGTAAAGTGTACACTTCACATATATGATGGAGGCCTTCTTTGTTCATGCTTAGAGTCTAAATAAACCTCCCTTGTGCTGAAAATCCTAGTTCACCCTGTTGAGCATTTAACCTTTCTTTTGGTAAACTTTAATACAAGCCTTAATAAAAAACCAAGAAACCTATCCAAATCAGAAAAAGGCAATTTGAGTCTAACCAAAGATGAATTTCAGAACTAAGTTTTGGGTGGCATGTTGTATTGTATGATTTGCTTGAGGACAAGCAAAATTTTAAGTTTGAGGTGGGTAATAACAAAGTATGAATTATTTGAAGTGAAAAGTAACAGCAAAAATCTGAGTCATTTGAGAAAAGATAATGAAAAGCAAGTATTGAAAAGAAGAAATAGGAAATGTGAAAAATAGAAAAGAAATTCGTGCATAAATGCATAGACTGATATATGAAAAGCACTTGAAATATTACAAAAATTCAGAAAATGTTGTGCAGAATTGAATGGAAGAAAAGAGAATGCAATCCCATTCTAAATTCTGAATATCATCTACTTGAAGTGCATCTTTTCTATTTGGCATAACCTAACATTGTTTCCCAATTTAATTGAACACCTACCTGTCTCTCAACCTCAATTTCACCTAAAAAGTCCTATTGATATGTGATTTGTTACCTATTTATAGAGGAGATTGAGAATATATGCAAGTCTATGGTAGAGTGTAGTAAAATTGATGATTTGGAGAGAAAACAGTAGCCTAAACACTGTTGAGTGATGAGGGAAACACTTCTAGTGAGCTGTGATCATGTTTCTTAATTGTTGCTCACATGAACTTTACTAAAATATATGAACTTAGATAGCAATTCTTACTCAGAGTATGATTAATGCAGTGTGATTATATGATTATCATGATGAGTAATTGGATAAATAACTTCATTGAATTAAAATCAGAAAAATCAGAATTAGAAATTAGAAAACATGAGAAAAGCAGTTTGTTAGTTGATTTTGAAAAAAAGGAGGAAATTACCCTTTGTTTGGTTTGATTTGTTTGAGGACAAGCAAAAATTCAAGTTTGGGGTAGTGATAAATCCATAATTTTACTAGTATTTTAATGTAGTTTTAACCCATTTGATAAGGAAAAAAATGCTAGAAAAAGCAGAAAAACTCATAAAATAGAATGATTGAAGGTTTTCTTTAAATATATAGTTATTTTAGCATTTGTGAATTTTCTGTTTAGAAATTAAGAATTTAATCATGTTTTTGTAGGAATAATCTGAGTAAAGTTCATGAAGATGGAAGATCAATGAAAAGATAGAGGAAAAGTAGCAATTTTGGACTCAAAGAACAAGAATTATGGAATATAGTCTGGGCGTGGTCACTCTTATCAGTGAAATTGAGTATTCTAGAGAGTTTCTCAGAAGAACACACTGTGTATTACCACTTTCACTGGCGAAAGTGAGCATTCCAGAGGACTTCAATTTTAGCAAAGTTATGTGTGACACTCTCGCTGGCGAAAGTGAGCGTTCCAGAAGAGCTTCACACATAGCGAGTAGCACGTGGTTACTCTTGCTGGCGAAAGTAGATGTTCTAGAGAGAAGTGTACCAAGGCAACTAGCGCATGGCCACTTTAACTCAAGAAAGTGAAAATGCACACTACTCGACCTCATGCGTTATCACTTTTATCAACAAAAGTGATCTTTCCAGTCTTCCAGAAACTATATAAGCCTTTGCGTGGCCACTCTTGTGGAGCATAGTGATAACACGCAGAGGCGATAATTCTATAAATACCAGAGAAAGCCCAGATTTGAATTAACTACCAGAATTAGGGAATTGTTAGGGATAAGTGAACTTAATTCTGCAGTCCTATGGTTCTGATTCTTAATGCAACTTGAAATTGAACTTCACCTAAGGGATTAGGGTGGTTTAGTTTGTAACACCTAATTCCTACTGAGATCCCATCTTATAATACTGAAATTTAAGGCTTCTATAGAACGGTGTACCTAAGATAAACGTGTACAAGAACTCATGCAAATCTTGCACTAAGGCCAATCTACTTACTATTTACCATCAATTTCACAAGAGAATAGCTTCAACTTTCCATTCCCATGGTTCATTCAAAGGCACCTTGATAACCACGTCGCAATGGTATCAAACAAGCTAGATTTTCTCAAAAATTTGTGCAATACAAGAAGCAAACCTAGGTCATCTCTCAAGGACATAAAATGCATTTTATTTTTAGTTCCATCATGCAATTTCAAATTAGATTGGGGGAGGATTTGTTTTGAATTTAAACGATAAAATAACAAAAACGAAAATTAAGGATTATAAAATTCAACCAATTCAAGATCTCAATCCCTACAATGCAATTCTCGTCGTTCACACAAATATGATCCCAACGAATTTCCAATCACACTAATTCAATGCGCATCAACAACCCTAAAATCTAAATCTAGATTATGAATTCCATCAAAACAAGAACCGCAATCGCAAACCCAATGCTTTAACAAAATTTAGAACAATTGATTGATTAAATTAGGTGAATCCAATTAATTCAAATCTGAAATTAACCTATTCTTTCTATTTAGGATGCAACGAAAATTCCATATCATGAAAAACGTAATTAACCTAATTAGAAAAGAGGAAGGAAAGGAGGAATTCGATAAAACCTATTTTGAAACTCGAATACAATGTAGTTTTTGAAACCTTGAACCGGTTGATGAATTAGCCTTGCTTCATAATCATGTTGCTCGACCAATTAGAGAAGGGGATGAAGTTTCCGAAAATAAAAGAGAGGGAGACGAGAGGAATCCTTATGAAAGCTTTTATTTAAAATTCTGAAAATTAAGGCAAAAAAGAGGGAAGAATATCCCCACGCGAAATCATTAACCCTATTTAAAGACAAAATAATTGGGCTTAATTAAGGCCCAGCTTCCTAACGAGGTTCCTAAAACCCTAATTAAGTAATGTCAACAATAAAACCAAATTCTGAAAAATTCATTGCAGGACCGCAACATTGTGACGCAGTTTTGGGCCCGAATATGTTCGAACTGGGCTTTTATCGTAACATAGAAGTTGTATATCTCTCTCTTATCTTTCTAGGGACACCAATTTTGTCCAATTCCGAGTAGTGTAGCTCCAGATATGGTCTTTTCAAGAAACTGTGTCAAAACAAGAATTTATGGCGAGAATTAAGAAAGATTTAAATTTAAATCCTAAATGACTTACCAACACAAATCTAAACTAACACATCAAAATAATATACTAAAAAGACTCAATTAAATCGAAAACATAGAGAGAAAGATGTATTAAAATATGACTATCACACCTCCACAGCTAGTCATAATGAAATCCCTTCTCCTTCTACTCAACACCAACCACGTCATTCTACCGGGTCCTCAGTTAAACCATAATTCAGTTTATCATAACGACTCAAGTTAATTTAAAGAGATAATAAACACAACAAAGCACTTGCATCAGGTTTATCCATCACAAAATCATATATTTTAACTAGTCCAGCATCTTAGCAACATGCAAATCATTTTCGCTAATCACTTTAAATATTTGAAGGATAATTTTATAACAACAATGGAGGTAAGCGCTTGGCATTTTATATCGTTCGAAATAAAATTCTGAAAAATAGAACGAGGAGCACGTAGATAAAAGAAAATGTATATATAAACCATCCAGCCAAAATGTCCAAGGTAGAACGACGATAAAGTAAAACCCCAAAGTTAGTATTTCAAAAGTAGTAAAAATAACCTGAAACCTACGAGCAGTATTCATCCATGACACAAACAAAATAATCAACTACAAATAAAACTCTAACAGAAGGGAATCCTCACTAGGGTCGGATTCCATTCCATCAGAGTCAGGCAAATCATCCACTGGCTGAGGGTGAGGAGAGGGCGGCAAGTCATCCGGGTCACTATCGATCCAACTGATGGTGGGTGGGGGTGAACGAGAGGTAGATGGTGGTGAAGGGCGGGTGGAAGGTCCATCTTCATCGGAAGAAGGTGCTTGAATTTGTAGTGAGTGGCGAGGTACTGGCCTAATAGAAGTCTCGACAACTTTGATGTCCTTCCATGTAGGTGCAGGAGATGGGCTGGGACAGGGGGTATGCTCGGGGTCAAGATCGATGATGGTCTTACCTTTGTCGACAAAAGTTTTGAGTCGTTTGGCTGGGGGTTCTTGTGGTGGTGGAGAAGAAGGCGGTGAGTGAATAATGATACTTCGTTTGGGTGGTAGGGGTACGGATATATCAGCAAAAAGGTGGTCACGCCAGTTGGGGTTGTGATGAATTCACTTTTTATTATATTTTTACTTGCCTTTTTGGTGCTCCTTAATAGAAAAAATGGACTTAGATAGTGCAAATAATATAGAAATCACATTTTGAGTAAATATCATAGGTTTATTAATTTTTGGTTAATTTGCATTTAATTACATAGATATAGATTGCAATTTTAATTATCTTAATAATTTTGCAGAGTCCCCAAGTTAATTTTGAGAAATCTTGGCCCTTGGATGAAAGTTGCCCCCAAAGTAGCCACTTTTAGGAGCAAAAGTGACAACTACAGCAAGTCTGGGCATTAAAGGTTCCAAAGTAGCTACTATCAAGCCCAAAAGTGGCAACTCCAGAAGTTCCAGGGATGCCAATTTTGAAGCATTTCTGCGCGTGGACACTATCAGCTCTCATAGTAGCCACGCGCACCAAAGTAGCCACTTTCAGCACAAATAGTGGCAACTCCAGAAGCTCCAGGACGCTAATTTGGAAGCATTCCTATGCATGGCCACTATTGGCTCTCATAGTAGCCACGCGCACCAAAGTAGCCACTTTCAGCACAAATAGTGGCAACTCCAGAGAAGTGGCAACCCTTCCATCCTGCGCGTGGACACTTTCAAGGCCCAAAGTGGACACTTTCAAAGGCAAAAGTGGACACTTTGGTGACATGTCATCCACTATAAATAGATTTTAGGAATTAGGGTACGGGACTTTTGACATTTTACACAATTTTCCTTTGCCAAATTGGGATAATTTCTTACGACATTGGAGTCTTGGGTGACAGCCAAGGGTCCTCTATAGGTTTTAATTTCCAATTTCCCTTTTGATTTTTGTTGAATTTACATTAATGTTGTTTACGTTCTTGCATTTCTTTCTCTCATTTGTGAAGCCCATCCATATGGAGAGCTAAATTTTCTTGTAATTCCTAGTCAATGCACATGAATCTTGAATTCTTGGGATTAATTGCTATACAAATCTTTCTTTTCTTGAATTTATTAACCCCAATCTCTGAATGAAATGGAATTTCATGAAGGGAACATTGCTTAATGAACCCTAATTTAGCTAATGAAATTCTAATTCAAAATTGCTTAATTTTGATTAATCCTTGAGGTTGCTTAATCTTAGGGATAGAGATTGGAGCCCATTAAGATGCTTAATTTTAATTGGGATGTTAAAGTTAGTCTTCGCTTGTTAGATTAACTTAATTCAAGGGAAAGAAAGGGGATTATTGAATCATTTGAAAGAATAATGATGGAACTTGTTGCTTGACTAGGAATTACTCATTTTAATTGATTGAATTTCACTAGTTTACATTTTGCTCTTGATTAAAATCTGGAAATTGACAAACCTCCCCCCAATTTACTTGCTTTAAAATATATGGTCACACTTGTTCGATGTATGTTCCCAACCAAAAATTCCTTGGAGACGACCTAGGACAACACCCTAGTACTACATTTATTTCTTTGCATATTTGATGAGGATTAACGACAATCTTTTGCATGACGAGTAGCTAAAATTCATTTCATCAGCTTCCAGCCGTCTTCAGTGAGGGGTCCCATAGCCATGGAGATCATCCCTTGGTACACGAGGCGGCTCATTGTCGGGTCGAATGTCCATGCCTCCTTCCCTTTGGAATCCTCTCACTAAATTCTTGCTCGCTGAGGGTCTTTCTATCATACAGTCATGCAATACATACTAAGACGCAATTCCAGAACAAGAACAGAAAGGGTGAGTGTAACGCCCCAAAAATGTAATATTGTTTGAGTATATATATATATATATACACTATTTTGTGGTATGATGATTGACTTAATGGTGATATGGATGTACGAATGTGCCTTAGTTTGATGGGAATGTGTGTGTGAATACATATATGTAAATGTATGTATACATGTGTGTGATTGGAATTTGGATTGAAAGAAATAGGTTAAGTTCTGGTGCAGGGCATTCTCGCTGTAGCGAGATAATTCTTGCTGCAGCGAGAGGTCCGTAGAAGGAAGGCACGTGACTGTCGCCTTCTCGCTGTAGCGAGAGACGTCTCGTTGTAGCGAGAGATGTCTCGCTGTAGCGACAATTTAGGTGCATTTCTGAGTGCAATCTCGCTGTAGCGAGAGGGTCTCGCTGTAGCAATATTTTGCAGAAACCAGAGTGCAGATTTGTCTGAGTTTTTCGCTGTAGCGACAGAGGGCAGAGTGTCGCGACTAGAGAGGTATTTGAAGGGTTAGGGTTCGAGGAGAGGGTTATTTTTCACGATTTCCCTCTCTCTCCTTCACTATTCTCTCTACCAAACCCATTCCTACCAATTAGAACCTTTCCAAGGACATTTGGAAGCTAGATTGAAGGTGAGGGACACATTTAGAGCTCTTGGAGGTAAGCTTCCATGGCTAGGGTTTTGGTTTTTGGTCCCTCTCTCTTATTTCCGAGGTTCTCTCTGAGTTCCCATGAAATTTCTTTGTGATTTAGGGTTAAAAATCGTGTGGGGGGCCGTTTCTACCATTACTTTGGATTGGATCTTCATTTTGAAGTAAGGGGAGGACTTCACTCTAGTTATCTTTGTTAGAAATAGGTCTATTTGGTTGTTTATGGCAATGAGAAAGAAATAAGAGGCAAAAATATGTGTATTGATGAATTCTACAAATTGTGTGAAAATGAGTGATATGATTTGTGTTGGTTGTCATTGGATGCTAGGAAATGATGTGTGTATGATAGAAATGTGATTGTGAATACATTGAGCATGATGTGTGACGATTGTGATGAAATGGTTGGTTACAACATGGATGAAATTGTGTTGACATGCCCTTGATTTCTAATTGAATAATGTGAATGGCTGGAAATAAGTGTGGATGGTATGTTGAATGAATGATGATGTGTTTGGATGTTGGAACTATGAATGGTTCAGAGATACACTGGGGGTGTAGAAGATATGGGCAGTAGAAATACCTTGGGGAAGAGAGGGTAGTGGTGACACCAATAGTGAGCGTGGGTGCATCACAGTCACACACTCTCCTCTTGACTCGGCCTCTGACTAACACCTTTGCCTGGGGGGCTCAATACCGCACATGTTGTATCCGTGGAGCGGGAGCTATTCAGGTGACCATCCATAGTATAACTGAGTAAGTCCCTGAGGTCAAGGGCATCAGGAATCTGTGATCACAGTGCCACAGTGAGCGTGGCTATGTGCAGTGAGCGCACGTGTGTTTGTGTAAATGTGTGGATTTGTAATTGGTGCAGTGAGCGAACCTATTGTGATTGAGAATTTGTATGTATGATGTTCGTTGACGTATGCTCCTAATATGATTAGAATTTATGCATACTGAGTCAGGTGAGTCTAATGCTTGTCTGTGTGTTTCTACTAGTGTAAAGGACTCACCCTTATGTTTATTTTTCAGGTAACCAAGACGATCAGCACCGAGACCCCTGAAGGAAGGAAGGATGAAACTGCTATAGGACTTAGAAATTTATTCTAAAAATCTGATGTATATTTTAGTCCTGTAGCAAGTAATGATGCAAATTGTACTCTAATTTCTTATTCAAAACATTTTATGAAATTGTGCTTGAACAATTATCCGAACGAAAAATTTTTACTACTCTGAACTTTGTAAAAACATATTTATTCAAAAATTTAAAATTTAGGGTGTTTCAATTTGGTATCAGAGCAGTTCATCCAGCCAGACTGGGGGAACAGGTTGAAGCGTCCTAGATAAGTGTTGATTGTTTTGATTACTTGATTTATAAATGTTATAATTGATCTGATATGCTGGAATACTGTTTGCTGACTATGATTAGCTTAGATAAAGCATGGCTAGTAGAGGTAGAGGTAGAGGAGCTAGGAACACTGAGGATCCTATGGAGTGCATAGCTCAAATGCTGGAGGCCTTGGTGCATAACCAAGGTGGAGAACCAGCGGAGTACAGAGGGTTATCTGCCTTCACTAGACATGATCCTCCAAAATTTGAGGGAGGGTTTAACCCTGAAGGAGCCCAGAGGTGGGTAGCTAATGTAGAGAAGGTTTTCAATGCTATGGGGTGTCGTGAGGAGCACACAGTCCCCTATGCCACCTACTTGCTGTGTGGGGAGACTGAAGATTGGTGGAGGTTTGCTGGTCAGACCTTACCACAAGGAAAGGGCTATATACAGTGGGAAGCTTTCAAGACCATCTTTTTGGGGAACTACTTTCCTTGAGACTTGAAGAAGCAGAAAGCCAGGGAGTTCCTCAAACTGAGATAAGGGAGTATGACTGTAGGGGAGTATGCTACAAAATTTCAAGAGTTGATGAAGTACTGGCCCTACTACTAGCATGGAGATGGAGAGGAAGACCTGTGTTCTCTATTTGAGCACGGGCTGAGGCCAGACATTAGAGCTGCAGTCAGTGTATTTTAGCTGACGGACTTACCGACCCTGGTGAGTAAAAGTAGAATTTTTGAGGCCAGCTCAAAAGGCAAGACAATGGACACTAGAGGGAGTGGTCCAATGAGGCATGATAGAAGACCCCCTAGATTTTCGAAGGGACCATATTCAGGCTCAAGCAAGTCTCACTCTAGTGGAAGTTCATCCCAAGAAAAGAGTAGCAGTGGGAGTGGTTCTGGTACTAGCTCTTTCAGAAGGCCGATTGATAAGTCTATAATTAGGCCCTCTTTTACAGCCCATATATTCATATTTAACCTTTATTTTATTTGGGTTTTACACTAATTTATATATTAATTGTACAGTTTGGTATAAAGAGGCTGCAAGTAGATTTTGGGTGCATTTTGGGCCCAAATTGATAGCAGTCAGCACATCCAGACCCATCAATAAGCACGGGGGTACTTCGAGCCCATGCACGGTCGTGCTTAAGGCTGCTCATCTGCGGGAAGCCCAATTATGAAAAGTTTGTAGGGTTTCCAAATCCTATAAAAGGGAGGATCTCAGGCATCGTAAGGGGACCATTTTTACATATTGGCTTTTGCTCTGGGATACATTTCATCTCATCTCTCTCTTGCACGGGATCCTTGGCACATGCTTGGCGAGACTTGGAGCTTCAAGCGATCGTACTTGAAGACCTGGAACACATCTCATACTCTAGTTTGATATTTCTTTTGATTATGGCTTTGTTTATGATTATTTTAGTTCTTTTCTTTAGCATGAGTAACTAAGTCCATAGCTAGGGTTATGGGAACTATTGTTTATGAATTTATGGGATTTTAATGTTTGAATCAGAATTTGATTTCCGTTCTGTGATTAGATTTTAGCCTACTACGCTTCTCTCTTAATCCTAAATTAATTATATCGTTAGGCAACTGTACCTCGATTAATTAATAGATCTATAGGGTAAAACGAGACAAAGGATTAGGTGGACCAAACCTATCTTTCTCTTCTAATCATTATTAAATTAACAAGTTCATAGGCTCCTTAAGCTTGCTTAAATTGATATCTTGTATGACCATTGGGGATGTTAATTTAGAGAAAAGAATATTAATATTGCATGACCATTGGTATTAATAGTATTTGTATGAATGATTGGTAATCACAAGGAAATCAGATTTAGATCTAAATAGAAAAATAACATAAATGATTGAATGAGAACACCCATACGCCCTAGGTTCCTCTTCGATAAGTTTAACCAAGACGTGCATTGTATTCATTGCTCTTAGTTTTATAATTGATTTTACAAATTCTTGGTTTTAATTAATTTCGTATCCTTGAAGCTTAAACAATTGAATTAAGAAACTCTTAATAATTGAGAATTAATCCTTGTGGGACGATATTTCGGGAACTTAATTTAAGAACCCTTTATTACTTCTTGGTGGGTACACTTGCCCTCCGAGCAAGTTTTTGGCACCGTTGCCGGGGATTGCTTTTTCAATATTAAGAAAATCTCAAATTTAATTGATTGAAGCAATTTGTATTTTATTTTATTTTGTTTTGTTTATTGTTAATTTTTTATATATATAATTTTTGTATTTATTTTATTTCATTTTTTTTTAATTTCACAATTACTTTTAATGTATGCTCACTCGTTGTAAGTGCTCTACAGCTTGTTTATTTGATTCAGAGATTGAAAGAATAGCGCGTAGACAAAGAAAAGAAGTGAGAGAGCAAAGAATGGCAGAGGGAAGGAGATCAATTCAAGATTACATGACACCCACCACTAGAGGCACTCCTGGAAGCATTGCGGCACCAAATGTGGAGGCCAACAATTTTGAATTGAAACCAGCACTTATAACCATGGTCCAGAACTCGATACAATTTGGAGGCATGCCTAACGAAGACCCCAATCTTCATCTGACAAATTTCCTCCGATTGACAAATACCATAAAATACAATGGAGTCTCCAACGATGCTATTCGACTCCATCTTTTCCCATTCTCGGTATCTGAAAAGGTGAATGCATGGTTTTCCTCACTCCCAGCCAACTCCATTAGAACTTAGGAGGATCTCACTCAACAATTCTTGGGAAAGTACTTTCCCCCATCAAGGTCCTCTAAGCTTATGATAGAGATATGTTGCTTCCAATAATATGAAGCAGAATCCTTATTCGAAGCATGGGAGCGATTTGGAGAGCTTTTGTGGAGATGTCCTCATCATGATTTTCTGATGTGGAGACAGGTACAAATTTTTTACAGTGGCCTATCAATCACTACTAGGGCTACAATTGATGCCGCAACAGGACAATCCCTCATAAGAAAAGATCCAGATGATGCATACAAGCAGATAGATGATATGACATCTTCTAGCTTTGAGTGGCACACTGTTGACTCTTATGACATCAAGAGGAATGAGACTGTCCCAGTTTACCAAGCAGAGAGCAACAGCCCACTAATGAACCAAATGGCAGCCCTTACAAAGCAATTAGAATCTTTAATAAAGGCTCAAAACCAACCTGTAAAAGCTCCTGCAAGCTCAGAATCTAAGCAAGAGGAGGCAAATTTCATGGGCATTCACAGTTCAGGGTGGAGGAGTAATCATCCTAACTCTTGGGGGAATGGCTTTGGAAGTCAAAATTCAAGTGTTTATCGCCCTCCTTATATGCAAAGTCAGGGAACAAGACCAGAAGGGAAAGAAGCCCCCAGATCTCAGTCCAACTTTCAAGATCAGATGATGCAATATGTGCATTACTCTAATAAGAGAATGACAGAGCTTGAATCCAAGTTGGACCAACATATTGAGAGAACTGAAAAGAGGTTTGCAGAGGTTAAATCTGAAATACAAGCCAGCTCTTCTAAGATGAGTGCACAATTGGAGCACATTACCAACCTTCTAAGTGAGAGAGTGATGGGAACATTGAAATCTCAGCCTGAACCTAATCCAAGGGAGCAATGCAATGCCATCACCCTTAGAAGTGGGAAGAAACTACAAGAATTGCAGAACAGAGGCACATGCACACCCATGCTTGTTGAGAAGCACGCCCATGCTGATTCTACACGCATGCCCGTGCTTACTGATAAGCACGCCCTTGCTGAAACTGAAGCACGACCGTGCTTATACAAGCACGCTGATAACCACGTCACAATGGTATCAAACAAACTAGATTTTCTTAAAAATTTTGCAATACAAGGAGTAAACCTAGGTCATCTCACAAGGACATAAGATACATTATGTTTTTGGTTCCATCATGTGATTTCAGATTAGCTTAGAGAAGGATTGTTTTGAATTAAATTGTGAACAACAGAAAAGAAAAGAACAAGGAATAATTATAGCAAAACGAAATATGAAATTCAACCAAATCAAGATCTCAATCACTACAACGCAATTCTCATTGTTACACGAATATAATTCCAACGAATTTCCAATCAACACTAATTCAATACGACATTAATAACCCAAAATCTAAATCTAGATTATGAATTTCATCAAAACAAGAACTGCAATCGCAAATCCAATGCTCTAACAAAATTCAAAACAATTGATTTATTGAATTAGGTGAATTCATTTATTTCAAATCTGAAATTTTCATTCTCTGTTTAGAATGCAAACAAAAAATCAATATCATGAAAAACGTAATTATCCTAATCAAAAAAGAGGAGGAAAAGCGCGAATTCTATAGAACCTAACCCGAAACTCAAACATAATGTTGTTCTTGAAACCTTGAACTGATTGATGGATTAGCCTTGCTTCATGATCATGTTTGCTTCAGCCGAAACCAAAAAATATGAAAAGATGGAAGGTAGAGAGACAAAAATAAAGGAAAGAATTTAAAATAAAGACTTGTAATTCTAAAAAAATTGCGGGAAAAGAAAAACAAGGATCCGTACATAGAGTCATAACCTCTATTTAAAGATAAAATAATTGGGCTTAATTAAGGCCCAACTCCCTAATGAGTTTCCTAAACACCTAACTAAGTAAAAGACATAATAATTGGGCTTAATTAAGACCCAACTCCCTAACTAAGTAAAATCAACAATACAATCAAATTCTGAAAATTTTAGTGCAGGGCCGCAACATGGTGACGCAATTTTAGACTTGAAGATGCTCGAACTGGGCTTTTCTCCCAACAGAGAAGTTGTAGATCTCTGTCTTATCTTTCCAGAGACACCAATTTTGTCGAATTATGAATAGTGTACCTACAGATATGGTCTTTGCAAGAAACTGTATCAAAATAAGAAATTATGGCAGGAATTAAGAAAGATTTATATTTAAATCCTAAATTACTCACTAACACATCAAAATAATGCACTAATGAAGCACAGTAAAACCAAAAACATGGAGAGAAAGATGTATTAAAATATGACTATCAAATACCCCCACACTTAATCCTTTGCACTCCGGGGCAAAACTTTCTAATGAATTTCCAATGCAAAGAATAAAGAAAGAGAACAAACATTTCTAGAATCAAGGAAACAAACAATCAATGAGACACAAATGACATTAAAAGTAAGCATGAAGGCAAGTTAAAATAAAGAAAGATTAAAAAATGATAGAACCTCACAGATAGTGTATAGCTCTCAACTCTCAAATATTTTCGGCTAGTATTTACGCTCAACACAACATGAAAACTAGCACAATCAAGCTTTGACAAGCTTCTAATTTCTACAACTTGAAACACATGCTATTAAAGATCAAAAGGACTTTTATTTAGCTTGTAATGTGGCCAAGGTAAAGGTTAGATGGAAAAGACATTTAGGCTAAAACAACCAAAGATAAAAGAGGAGCAATGGGGAATAAGTTTAAATAAGCAAAAAGATTACCCCTAGAAAAATCTCCTA